ACGCCATCATAAAGTGTCGCTCGGTCGCAATGCAGCGTTCCTCGTCGGTATCCCATATTTTCGTCAACGCCAGGCCCAAGCGTTTCAGCCGATCCGAGCGGAAAGACTTTGAATTTGTGGCCAATCGCCAGTGTTCTTGCCGCAGTTCTCCAACCTATCATCGCCGCCAGGCACGTGGTACGTGGCAAGCCGTGCGCAGGCCCAGGTCGAGGCGCTCACGCGACGTCGCTGTAGGTATGGCGCAGCCTATCTATGCGTGACGAGCCACCGAGTCGGCCCTTGGGCGGAGCCCTGGCCAATTTTTCGACGGCCTCTCTCGCACGTCGGCCACGGTATCGCCTCCAAGATGCGCTCCTCCAAGCTCCCAAGACGTGCGACGACGCTGCGAGCGATGGCGCAATATGTCTAACATCATAGCCGCCGCGACGTCATGCGCTTGCGCATCCAGAACGGTTCGCGCTACGGCCACCTCCGATCTGACGGCGCGTCCACGCTCCGGTCGCTGCCGCCACACTCTACGTGTACGCACATCCCGTCAACGCTCGAATCGTGTCTCAACGTCGAGCCTGCATGCGGCTGCTCGCGCCGGCCGTCGTGCGCTGCACTCCTTTTCATCGCCATATCCTCTTATTCGTCCTTCGTGACCGACAGCTCGCAGCCAAAGTCGATACGCTCTACTGACGGCGCCAAGACGCATGCCATCCGAATCCCCGAGCCACACCGAGATGCTGCTCCAACGTCTACGTACTTAAAAACCCACGTCCTTCTCACACTCGAGTCGAGCAGCCTTCTGGGACAGCGTTTCGTTGGCCTTCTGAGCGGCGCATACGGCTGCTTTGCTTTGGCGTCGTGCTCTGAGCCTGTACGAGAAATGCAAGCGCGAGAACAAGCCTGACTGCATCGCCGTCTATCTGAACGCCTCGCCTCTACGTCTCTGATGGGATCGTCCAATTCCATGCAAACCCCAATCAACGGCCCACACTTCAACACGTTACAGTACGCTACTTGGGACCTCGGGTCGTGTTCGAGACGCGTGCGAGCCGCGAGTACGCGTCTGTCGGGTGCTCCTCGTGAGAGAGCTCGATCATGCAAAGCCGGAACTTCACCGCGTGGAAGCGCAGCGCCGTGTCGCCGTTGCTAGATAGCGTCACCAGCGCGCTCTCGTCGAAGACCAGCGAATGGTTGGGTCGACGGGGGGAGGCGGCAATTAGCTCAGCTCTGGTCGGGCGACCCCGCCCACCTCGACGACGAGGGGTGGTAGTGCCAGCCGCCGGCACGACAGGGTTTGTCGTCGAATCCATATCGAAGACGGAGCGATGTGATGGCAGACGATCAAAAGCAAATATGAAGCAGTCAAGACACAGGGCTTGTTGAGCAAACGTTGTCCAACACGAATTTATTGCCTCCACATACCAACTAGAACTACACCGCGCGTTAAAATACCCCTGCGCCCAGCCACCTCCAAGTGACGTGGTATCGAGAAGCCGTGAGCTTAAACGAAGTCGTCCAATGAGCGCAGATATTATGCCGAACCTCTCGTGCGACCAGAGCGTGTCATCGTAGCCCCTTTCATTCTCTGCCTTCTGCAGCAGCCTGGAGTGGTTCTACGTCTTTGAACGAACACCAAGTTGAGCCGAACCGGGCAATGGTAACGACACGAGACCTGCAGTCGAAGCATCGAGCTTCCATTTTGACGCGCCTTCACTACCTTCAACCCCGATTGCTGCCACGCGTGTGGCCCGCAATCGACCATAGTGGCCGCAAATTAAACGTCGCGTTGCCGTCGTCTACTCTGTGGCTCTCTGCAGCATTTAAACAATATGCATGCAGCTGGCGCTGCCATGGCGGGAAGTATCCAGAACTGTGACAAACGACGACACGTCCAGGCAGTAAGTACTCGGCGACGGCAGCGACACGTGCTTACGAACCCTTCAAAGTTTGCGCGAGCCCATTAGAAGAGGCTAGTTTGCTGCAGTTGGCCATAATAATACAAATAGCATCGATTTTGATTTTGACAAGTTGTCATTTAGGACGACGATGCATCTTGACTTCGATGTGATCACGGTCGCGTCTTGCCCTCGCATCTGAGCTTTAAGGTAATCGTACTGTATAAGTCTGCTCAGATGGCTGTTTAGAGCAGCTCAAAACCCTCGGTGAGGATGCGGAATCACCGAATAAGTCACGAGCGCAACTACAATATAAGTCACGAGCGCAACTACGATTGCCGAGATCTGGATGGTCTCCAGTCGCGCTCGCCTTTACCACGACGTCCAGTGGCATATTAATATTGCGTGCACTGCTTTAGATAGTACCGGCATTGGTCGAGGGCCAGTCCAACCACGGTCAACTGGCGACTGGTGTCAGACACACACTAAGTCACGAGCGCAATTACGATTGCCGAGATCTGGATGGTCTCCAGTCGCGCTCGCCTTTACCACGACGTCCAGTGGCATATTA